ATTATATATACTGTATAACGATGTGAAACTATTTCATCAACTTCATACTTGATAGAAAAATCAAAAATAGCATTTTTTTACAAAAAAAACAGAGAAAAGGAAGATAGTTATTTTTAATTTTCAACCGGTGAATTTCCGGTATTTTCCGGGCCGGTAGGTTTTCCAAACCGGTCCGGTCCTGTCCGGCACCGGTCCGACCGGACCGGTTCCAGCGCTGATTACGACAGGAAGTAGACTAGAGCAAGTGGAAATCGCTTTTTTTGCAAGTATTCTTTTTTGGGGATGACTAACGAGGAAACATATCCAACTGATTCCGAGCTTTTGGCTTCATCTTTTGGCTATAGGTAGGCCTCAGTGAGACTAAGAAAACCCTAGAAGCGTTCGTCCCCATGGCTCGTCGTTTTCGAGTTATGACCAAAACTATGCCATAAAAAAAGGTATATTTCAAATTTTTAAATTGGTGTTTATATTTTATCTTATTACTGTGAAACCTAAAGTATGTCAGAAAAAATGATTCAATTACAGCCATTAAAGTGTTCAACATTTGCATCTTCAACTAATCCAGCTTATGAAGACTAGAACTTCAACAACAACAAGCTTCTTAATGTACCAAAAACACAAAATGAAACAATATTTTACGTCACATATGTGGAAAAAAGCAAGTTTAATGATAATGATAGTTTACGTAGAAGTGATGAAAACATAACACATTTCGACACCAGGAGCAACATATGAAACCAGAAGTTGAACAACGCTCTTCTTCGCATGGAGAAGAACCGAAAGAGAAACAAGCTTCGATAACATTGAAAAAATTACCAGGATGAGTCTCGCCATATCCACTGGTATACCAACTGTATTGAATCATTTTACGAAAGAGAGGTGCAGCCATTTGAAAATAAACTAGTGATACTAATTTTATGATACTGTTTCGATTCGACATTTGAATATCCAATTGGTCAAGTGCGATCCGATCGTATATACGGCGAATAATGCCTTTCATCTGTCGGTTGAAATACATGTCTAGGGGCTGTATTTTGTCCGTTGTTTTATCTGGTATCTGTAATCGTTTTAAACCTTTGACTTTCCTATAAATTCGACCATCATTTTGCCCTGACCACGAGTCTGAAAGAAGAAGACTCTTTTCGGATGTATTGGGAATAAGAACTTGATCAACCCAATAACTAACATGAGAACTAGTTAATTTTCCAGATTTTGAACACGTAACGATAACATTATCAGCTTGAAACATTCGAGATTGTATATCTGAAGTTTAGTCAAGTTCAAACTTAAGGAGATTAAAGATTTAAAATTTACCTTCACTAATTCGACCAGTAGTTTCCTGAAGACATAAAAACAGAGGTCCGACTACTTTTCCTTCCATATTAATAAGAGGCTGAATAGTATAAGAGTGAGTACTTGCATTCTTGGATGTTACTGAACCAGCTGTTATCTTTTCGCCTTTAAAAGTTAGCGTGCGATTGCTTCGAAATTCTTTCACCAAATTAACTTGATCTGTATTAAAAATTTCACTTGATGAATAGTTCTTCATCTCTGCTCGAGCAGCGTTGACAAAGTCTTCAGCTGTACTATCAATTTCATCAGCATTTCTTATTGATTGGCTGCTAATAACTTTAGAAATCTTGCGAGAAACAATACTATGTTTGTGCTTGAAATTATAAACCCAAAAATTGGAAGCAACAAATTCATACATTGATTGTTCTCGAGCCTTCGCAATAGCCCATCGTTGTAAATCTGCATCATAAATACATAACGATTGATCACGAGCGTCTTTGAACATTGTAAAAACATATGAATCGATTTCGTGTACTTTTTTTGTTTTGATCCATGAGGGCTAACATAATCGCGAAAGCGAACGATATATTGTCTGTGAGGAATTCGAGTAAATCGATGACTAACATTTTTCCAGCTATGTTTACGTTTTCCGTTCTGGTCGACTTCATCATAATAATCTAACACTTGTTTCATGTAATCAAGAGAAAATTTGCGTGTTTGTTGTTTATCATCATTTTCTTCTTCTTCTGTTGAGTCCATTTGTTCTTCATTATTTTCTATTTCTTCTTCGGATTCTAACCCTTGATTGTCTTCACTTTCTTGAGACTCATTTCCTGAGAAATCATCCGATGAATCGATTTGATCAAGTCTAGATTCATCGTAAATTTCGAACGATGAGGTAGACAAGAAAGTTTGGATAGTTTCATAAAGATACTCGATGAGCTCTTGAATTCGTTTATTTCCTTTTGGTTGATAAGTATCTCTTTTTGAGACTTGCTCAGATAGCATAGCTACGATATCAGCTGCTTCAATCATTTGTTTAAACAAAATGAAAAGTGGCGTTATATTATATTGTATACATTAAATGTTTTTCCCTGATATCGATATGATATACGTGGTCAACAAATATCGACGGTCATTTTTCTCTTTTATCTGTTTCTCTTACTTTCTCTAGAACATCACATGCCAGCAAGTCTTAAATAACTATAATTTGATCTTCAGCATTTCAACAGAATTATATGTTAAAAATTACTGTACAATAGCAATTACTTCAGCTATCTGTATAAAGACTAATACAGAACTATTTAAACAAAAAAGCTTCGAAAATGAAAAAGTCCCTTTTATTTTTACGATATATTTTTGGTCACATCTCGGGAACGACGAGCCATGGGGACGAACCATTCTAGGGTTTTCTTAGTCTTACTGAGGCCTACCTATAGCCAAAAGATGAAGCCAAAAGCTCGGAATCAGTTGGATATGTTCCCTCGTAAGAACATTTTCATAGAATAGTGGAACGCATTTTCTATCATTTTCAGTAGGAAAGATCAAGAATGCGTTCCAAAAAAGTGAAAACCTTTCTTTAGTATAGAAAACCATTCTTGAAGGATTCGGAAAGCGTTCTTGGAGGTTCCATTTTGGAACGCTTTCCATTGTTGTTGGAACGTTTTCTTTTCTTAAGAAAAGGGCTCTTAATTTTACGGAACGCGTTCTTTCCCGTTCTTTGAAGCAAATATTTTTCACTGGGATGTTTAAGACCTCCACCATTTATATGCATAGAGGCAGCATAGGCACATTCGATTGAAGAAGAAACATGTCACTGTTTAGAGTGAGAAGCAATTCAATTTCGACGTCCCATATGAGCGAATGAGAGATCTACTCATAGAATCTACTTGTATATGGAAGAATTCATTGCTATATAAGACGATATCTAACTATTTATTATTATGAAAAAATGCAAAAATAAGGAGTACTGTTGGATGTAAGCAAAAAAGGAAGCATTCGTTGTGAAAGAATCAAAGAACATCTCTCATAATTTAAGCTAAAAAAATTCAAGTTCTAATAATGACTTGTAATCTCTTCTTGGATGTCAAACTACTTAGGGCATACCAAAAGTAGTGAGAGTTACACTTTAATACCGTATAGTAGACTTAAAGAAACTTTCTTTCTATATAGCCTGATAGAGAAAGAAAAGCTCTATCTTTCTATGCTATTC